AGATAACAGAATGACCTGAATAAAAGTGCTAGAAATCTTTGAAAGATTGTGCTTTAAAAAGAGGTGAGAGAAGTCCATAAAATATTAATGCAACTGATGCAGTGGATAGGAATCAATTGTTCATTGTCTCTCACACTGTAAGAGCCAGAGTTCAAATGAAGCTAGCCAGGAGCATGTTCAGCATCGACTAAAGGAGATGCTTCTTTACCTGAGAAGTTGTGGAAGTCTTTGTTACTGGATGTTCCACATGGGAAAACTTTGGATGGGTTAGAGCAGAGTCTGGACAAGTTCATAAATAAGAAATCCATCACTGGTTAGTAAGAGCACAGACCTCACGTTCAGCTCAGGAAGCTGTTTGTCGAAAAATCAGGCACTGGGGAAATGTCTTCTACACTTGGCTTTTGCTCAATACTGAGAGCCCACTTTCAGATACAAAATACTGAATAGATGTGGATTTAGTCTGATCCACTGTGGTTTTTTTATGTTAGCATATGCTATGTTTGTCTGTGTTTTTATTCTGAAACAAGGTTTTAAATTGGTTTTAGCTAACTGAAAACCTGCTACTAACTCAGGAGCATTATGTTATACTTCTTGGCTAGTGTAGGGCTTGGGAGGGAAAGAGGAAGGGTGCATTAAATATATTGCTTTGCTTGTTAAATAGTGCAGGTGACAGCTTAGGATTTATTGTCTACATGATATATATTATTCACAAATGAAGTTCTGGTCTAGCCTGTCTTGTTAGAACAACTTTCCTGGGAGAATAATAAATCCAGAGGCCAGTAGCATACAGATCACAGAACAGTTGGGACAAGGAATTTCTGATTCATCTGATGAATTAAGTCATTTGTTTTTAGTTGAAATGCTGCTATTCAGACCCAACTGTACTTTGATTTCAGTATCTTTTTGTTCCACTTTTCATTACCGTCACCTTAAAAAGATTTTAAGCCCAACCAGCAGACGTTTCCCTGATACCATTTTCTTTAGAGAAATAAGCTGCAATACTGGAAGTAGGGAAGTTTTTGAGTTCTTATTTCAGCTTTGTGACCGATTCACATGACTTTGAATATATCATGTAAATATCTGTGCTGTGTCTAAATTGAAGATAACAGGAATTATAGGAATGCTTTTAAGGTAAAGTATGTAAAATTCTATGAAGACTTAAATTAGGATTTATTAGTGTTTTTGAAATAGTAGGGATGGGAAGATCATGCACGTGTCTTAGGTGCACAGAACTATTTATGTTTTATGGTTAGCAGAAATTGACCTCAATATGGATCAGAATACATGGGATGGAAGTATAGTCTGTGTGCAGATGGGGTTTAGTCTTTCAACAGTATTCCTTGTAGTACCTCATGAAAAAGGAATGTCTGCTTCCACCCAGCCCTAGAAGAACACCTATCAGGACCTATTCCTGCTACTCAGAATTCGTAGGAACGGAACTGTTTGTTTTATATGCGTTGTAGTTGTTCTTTTAGCCTAGTGGGGAGTGGCTGCTGCCTCTGAGCCACTGCCCTGGCAGGTGGTGCTGTGGTGTGGCCTGGGTGAGTTCCCCCAGATCTGGCTGTGAGAACTCCGATTGCTCTGCAGCAGCTGTGGTACAGCCAGGGGAAAGAATCGTGTCTGCCTAGCTGCTGTTCAGCCATACACTTGGGCTCCTGAGAACTGTGCAGTGAAATCTGGGATCTGAGAAACTGTATTTCTACAGGTGAGACCTACCTATAGTGAGCGATGAATGACAAAGGATTGAAACAGCCCCTGCCCAAGGTCTGGGTATTGTGAGTTGAATAGAAACGAGGCACTGCTCTGAGACGGGCACATGTTAGTTCCTCTCACTGCAAGGTTCTGGCACTTTTCTTCCTTAGAGCAGTTTTATGTGGTTGCCTTAAGAGAACTCATGTACCAATATATGCTCTTTTTTTTTCTTTTTTTTTTTTTTCCCAATTTCTAGGAATGATCAAATGTATTCATAGGAATCCCAAGTAGAAATTGCTAATTACCTAGAAAGGGGAGATACTCCTCATTTTATTGAGGAAGTAGAGCCACGATGAATTAAAAGGACTTTTCCTGAATCGCAGGAAACTTAATGTGGAGATAGAAATTGAGTCCAGACTTCCTGGTTCAGTTCACGGTTTCAGTCCATCCTTTTCCAAGTATCAAGTATGTACACAAGACTCTCCAATTTAATCTTCATATTAGCTTCCAGTGCTACAATTCAGTTCCTCTGAACTTTGCCCTCTCATTCATTTTAGCAAAAAGGCAAACATTTGGCCATTTGTTTCAATAGTGAGTAGAAGCTGTTTTATATACAGATGACGCTTTCCCCTCCATTCACATGCTTCTCATCCTAGTATTAGAAGGCCTGCCTGTGTCAGCAAGGGCCTGTTTAAATTAGAAACCAAATCATGTTTCAGGGAAGCCTTGGGCTGTCTTGTGGAAAGGGTTCTTCTCAACCCTTGCCAGTTACTACTTGGTGGTCCTGCCAATCCTTGCTGAGTTTCAAAACAAAAGTTGCTCAAGCTCAAAGAGCACTGCTAGCCCAGCATAGGCAGCTGGATGGCTGGTGAGCTGGGATGGAGCAAGGCCCAGTGCTTAACCAGGCACAGCTCACCAGGCCATGTAAAGGGACAGGAGAGTGGCACTGTCCTCACTGTTAACATTCCTCTTCTGTGAGACTTTTCCTGATATTTATTTAATAAACCCAGGCTCAGAAAGTCTAAATGATTTGAGCAATCAAGTGGTTGCAATTTGGATTTGTATATGAAGAGGACACGCAGCCAGGCTAAGTGAAGGCTGAAATGCGCCACTTCTGACTTCTGCAAAACCAGCTGTGTCCAAGAGTGGAATATGCAGTGACAGTGCTTAGGAGATGTGCTTCAGGCCAGGTTTGCAAAGCCACACCTCCTATTTAATTGTACATCACCAGTATCTGGTATGATCACTGTGGAGAAGTTTCTGTTGCTGCCAGTGAATAATATTCATCAACTCCAGTTTGATGTCTCCTGCCAGTTGCTGCAAAAGTCAAGGACGTGGTAATGCTCTGTTCTCAGAGACAGGTTCTACAGAACTGTCTGAAGTATGCCTGCATTTCCATGTCCCAGCAACAGATGCTTGTAAATAGGCACTCCTTCACATGTAGGAAGGAATTCATCCAGAGACTGCTTTGTGTAAAGGTTTATTCTTCCTTTCTGAAGAACCTTGCTGAGAATTTTCGCATGAAGTGGAGAAAAAAAGCAGCATCACATGCATTACCATTGCAGAATTATTTCCAACTTGTAGTGAAGCAGGGACAAATGCTGAGTGGATGAAGAGGTCCAAGGTTCAAACTGGAAATGGAACTTCTTGCTATGGATGTGGGACAGGAGAGGAAAAACAAATGCCGATTAACCTGATCTTCAGTAAAAGGCACAGAGAAATTATTTTCACTAAAAAGTAAAAAATTAAAATGAGTAATGTTTTTGTATGTTAGGAAAAAAAGTATTATCTGTACTTCAGTTCATTGAAAAAATACACAAAGGAAAGGCAGCACAGAAAAGAAGAGCATTTTTGCTGCTTGTACTTCCCACGTTCTGTCATTGGTGCTCTTGCTCTTGTGAGTGGTCCTTTACCCTGTACAACATCCATATGAGGAGAACGTATTGGTCTTTTCACCTGTATAAGGGGATCTGCTTAAACAGAAACACCAGCATGAGTCCCTGATGATGACTCAAAACCCCCTTGATGTTTGATTCAGAGAGATGTAGTCTGCACAGTTTTGGAGTAATTTGTAAATGTTCTTTTGATAACTTTTGCTTATCAGCTTTGAGGTTTGTTGACCGTAACTGCATTGTGATCTGAGTAAAATGGTTGTTACTGCATTTGCAAGCAGCTCAGCCTGATTACACTGATCTAAGCACCACATTTACAACTTCGTCTGTGGTGCCATTACAGAAATTAAGTGAGCCAGCAGGAAGACACACTGCACGTATCTCACTCTTAGCATGCTGATTTACTGCCTCTGTCTGCTGTCTTTTACAGTTCTGTACTGGCTAATGTCCCTGCCTTGCTGGTTAGCTTGTTTAAGTCGTGTGATGCTTCATCTGGAGTGAGGAATCTGAATCTGACTTTGCCACCAGACTGAGAAACAGACAGCAACTTTATTTCAAAGTTCTTTTTTCATCTTTCCTGTGGTTACCTTGCACTTAGAAAACAAACTGGTACGGGTCATGGTATGGGGATGTGTGCTTTCCTTTGACTTTCTTCATTCTGAAAAAGTCTGTGTTCTTCAGCTATTCTCCACGGCTTCTCTGGTGTTCTGTTTTGACTTGGCCTGATGGCTGAAAGCTTTCCTGTAAATTATTACTTTTGACAGTTACGATAGTGATATTCCACACTCCCATAGTATCCTCTGACCTGCAGGTATCACAATGCACAGATATGCCTAAAACGTCACAAAAGAATGTGAATCACATACACTTACAAATTATGTCAGATAAACAATGTAAGAGGAGTACAGTATCTCAAAGAGAAATGACAAGCATCACTGATTAGAGTATTTACAGTGAGAAAGGGTTTCTGAGTTAGCTTCAACCCATAACTTCTGATTATTGAGTCGGTGCATTAAAACAGTGTAATTTGCCATAATTCTGTAAGCTAACAAGATAAGTGCACATATGGATTCAACTAATAAATCAACAGAATATTAGTTATTGGGGTGGAGGAGTGTGAGGTGAATGAGGAAGGTGGGTGAGGACAGCTACTAGTGTTAAGAATCTAAATAAAGTTACTCTGAAAAGCTGGCTGTGGTGGGCCCAGTGGAGGCTGCATAGTTGATTCTCTTCTTTAGAATAAAAGGAAAAAGAGGCCATGTGGCAACCTGGTTCATACCAGCTTCTACTACTCAGTGTGTGAAAATGGTCTCAGAGCTGTCATTATCTCCTTCACTTTCTGGTTCATATGCAAGCAGTGCAAAAGTATCATCATTAATGTTGGCTGAAGCTTCACACTTAATGGTTTTTTTTCAGGTGGAACTTGCAGAAATTTGCACCAAGAGTGAACGTTACATTGGCACAGAAGGTGGAGGAATGGACCAGTCAATCTCTTTTCTGGCAGAAGAAGGAACTGTATGTGAATCTTTGTAATCTAAGACAACAGTTTAACATTAATTAATGTAAACAGCAATGTCTTCATGTGTACCTGGCAGAATGACAAGAAACTGGAATACCTTGGCAAGCAGGATAAGCACCACTGCAGATGAAATAGGAATGATATGTATAATCTTTTGTACAGTTGAGTATGACAGTTTGAAGGACTAAGATGGTAAAAAATAGAAATGGAGAGAAGGAGGAAAGATGTGGGGAAAGATGCATGAGGTCCAGGTTCCACACTATTCAGCTAATTGATCACTGAACTTAGAAGACTTCCCATATAATGAAATCTGAATAGTCGGTATGCCTTGTATTCAGTGCAAATGGGATAATTATTACAAAAATGCTTTCTTGAAACTTTTTGTAACCGAACATTTCTAAGAAGTTTTGCCAGGTCAAGTTAGAAAGACAATGGAGATTTTTTCCCCAGTTCTGCTAATTCCAGAATTGGCTGAATTGTGTCATAGAAGGTATTCAGCTGTCTTAACCGCGGTGACAGAAGGTGGACTAGCCACCACATGCAGGACCTGCCAAGTTATGCACGAGTGCTTGCAGTTGAATTTACAGTGGTGTTCATCCACGGTTGCAAGACACACAGGAGTGTTGAAAACTAAAATGTGTCAAAATACATTTACTGAAATTAATGTAGCTTTTCATAGGAGACCTTTACTTTGCTTATAAATTAAAGTAATTTTATTATCTGTACAGATTTTGTGCCCTAATGCTGTATCTTGAATGAGTTTACACAGAAAACAAGCTATTTTTCATGTAATTCATCATGACATATTTCCTTTCAATTTCACATTACCCTTGCCTATGCTACACCTTTCCTTCACACCTCATACTGCTCCTCGTAAAGTGAAGGAAGTTGCATATTTTGCTGGCATACACACAGAGGATCGTGTAAGAGGGATTTTCCTGATGTATGTTGGTGGTGGTCAATAAAACAAAGGAAAGATTAAAAGAGAAATTGTGAACCAAGCAGAAAACATCTTTGCTTCAGTGCAATTGCAGATGAATGCAGTTCTGGCCACCCATTTCAAAGAAGTTACACTAGAGCTAGACAAGTTGGAACATTGGCTGAAAAATTTAAAACGCCACCTTGGAAAAACAGTGTCTTGGAGGGCGGTATTTTGAAGCCAATGTAAAATAGTGAATGGACAAGAGAAGGTAAATTGAGAATGCATTGTTTTTCGTAACCAAAGAACTAATAGAAACACAATAACATTAACAAGCAGCTTGTTCAAAAACAAACAAGGAAGTTGTTTTTTCAAAGCATTCATTGTTAAATTGAGAAATACCATACATTCTGGAAGACAAAAGTTTAAAAAGGGTTCAAAAAGGACCTTCTTGGGTGCTAATAAAACATTGGCCTACGTGTTTCTATTAAACAAAATGTGATGAATCTTCCAGTAGAACTGCCATAACCTTTCCTTATGGGAAGCTGGAAAAATACATCGCAAAACAGAAGAAAAAGAAAAAAAAGGTTGCTTTATGTATGTCTTATTTTCATATTCCTTCTAAATATCAATTCAAGGCTGCTGTCAAAAACAGGAGACTGGACCAGCTCAGAGGTACATTCTGAACGTTGTAGCTCTTAGAGGGTATACTGAAATGTAAGCAAGCTTGTCTGTCTTGATAGTAATTTTGTGACGTGGTCCAGAATCTCAATGGCAGGGAGTAACACACATGCTGTACATAATGTACAAGCAGATTTGTCATTGTTTATTCAGCACTCTAGCTGCTCAAGGAACTCTCTGGGGGTGAAAAATGCCAAAACCAGTAAAGGCATCCTTGCTTGCAGAGTTACAGTCTATACTAAGTAGCGAAAGCAGGGCACATGATTTACAACTTGTCCTAATGAGAAACCAGATGTGAATTTAATCTCTTGATTACATTACATCCTGAATTATTTAATTAATGGATGCCTAGCTTATTCCATGAAAAGGTCACAAAATGTTGGGAACATCTTGCACGGCCTATGTAAAGCATCTGTGAGGCAAGACAGTCTCTTATATCAGAAGAAAGAAGATAGTAACTACTTTTTAAATAGTTTTATTTCGTTTCTCTGATTGTTGGTATGTAACACGATCACCATCTGCAGTCAACCCTACGATTTTGGTAATATGCTGTACCTCAGTGAATTAAATCTTCTTGACATAGTGGAAAAATAGAAAAATAAGGGGGAGACAGATATTGGTGGAGGGAAGGGAATGTGAAGCTGCTTGATTCTAGTAGCACACACATTAGCTTCAGCCAGGTCTGGTACTTTTCTGTAGATCAAAGGAAAACTGTTGTCTTAAACAGGCAAGAAAAATAGGTTGGGTGGGGTTCTGTGAAATGCTGAAGAAACCCAAAGACTTAAGGGAAACATTCTAAAATCCAACTACAAGGGAAGGGGTTGAAATGTATGTGCAACTCAGCCAATGAGGTTAGATCTCTTTTCTTGCTGTTTCATGTCAGTTTCCTTCATTAAGTGTCCCTGGATTTCCAAGAGAAAAAACATGCAAATTTGTATTTGATTTATAGAACTAAGTGCACTGCTAGCTAGTAGTAAATTAAAACTAACCAGTCATTTTTCTTTCGATAGGCCAAGTTGATAGAGTTCAGTCCTCTGAGGGCAACTGATGTTAGACTTCCAAGCGGAGCAGCGTTTGTTATTGCTAACAGTTGTGTTGAAATGAATAAAGCAGCAACTTCTCATTACAATATTAGGGTAATGGAGTGTCGTCTGGCTACAAAGGTAACGTATGGCTTATGTCAAACTCTAATGAAACCTTCATCTAAATATGTGCCTTTCTCCACTTCTGACCAATCATATCTTTACTTAACACCTGGCTAGATGCTATGTTAAGGAGCATTTTTCTTTCCAGCACCAGACACTTCCATCTCTGCAGAAACAATTCCTGCCGAGTTTAATGGAAGTGCAAGGACTATGCCCTTATATAGAAGATTATGTGATTTTAATTCTATTTAATTTATTTTGTGTTATATTTGAATGGAGGAAATATGCCTATTTTTCAGCAAAAAATGCTCTGAGTTAATGAGATAGACTGTTTCTAATTAAAGCTGAATAATGACAAATAATGGAAAGCAACCAGTGTGGTCACATGTTTACATGTATATATGGCAATAGATGTGTATTTTCGAGGATTTAGAAGACATCAAAGCTACTAGTTGGAGGCCTGGAAGTAATACTGGAAATGCTGAATAGCAGCATGCATGTTAGTGTAAAACCCAGAATTTAAGTTATACTGCCTGTTTACAGTTGGCAATTATCTCTAAAATATATGGAATCTGAGCATGACAAATCTAAGTTCTGCTTTAATTGTGGATTCTGTAGATCATACATGTGGGAATATGAGGATGTAGGGTTTGATTCGAGTCTGTTATAAAAATACAGTGGATTTTTTATTAAGTTAAATGAGGACTAAGCATAAAGATTCACTGCAGTAATAGCCCACATGGAGTGCTGTGTTAAAGAAACAAATTTGGGTCACATAGCGTAGATGAAAGTTTTAAAAAGTACAGTGTGGAACTCCTTGTCACAAACCAGTTGGCCAAAATATAGGTTAGACTCTTGCACTCAATCTAAACAAACAGGTACTTTAAGCACCTGTTGGCAGAATGGTTCTGTGAAAGAAAATGCCATAGTTAATGTTAAATAATGAAAAAAAAACCTGCTGAATACCTTAAAAGATACTGACAAAATGTAATGTAAAATATGAAAGTTGGGATATTTTTACAGGAGGGAAGTAAAACAGGTGGCTTTTAAAATGGGATTTCAACTCAAGTATGAAAAACAGCTACACTTTAGGTGTATATTAGATATGGTAAAAATAATAGCACCAATGAGCACATTTTAAGTTGTCAATGAAGTTAATAAAAAGACTCCTATGCCTTTAGAAAAATGAAGGTAAAGACCTCACCGTGTGCTAGATCGTGCATAACTGATAAACATCAAATTCAGGATAATTGATTGACTACATCTTTTAGGAAGAGTTTATTTTGGAAATTATTATGCATAAGGCACAAGGAGCCTTTGGAGATGGTATGTTTTGAAAGGCAAACTGTAACTGTAAATGCCTTGGAAGACCTTTTAAGGTATTGTTCTATATGCCTTTTTTTGCAAATGGAATCACAGTTTTCTAAATTGCTTTAAATTATTGAGCCTCTTTATTAAAATGATGGCAATGAACAATTTTAATTTTTTTACACTACTGTTAGCTATGATGCAGTCTTTAAATGGGAACCTTTAGCAGATCCATGACTTTAAGTAGACTAACAACATACACCTGTCTATTTTAAAACATATGCTACCCAGATGGAAAGTTGCACACACTACAAAAATATTTTGAGTCAGGAAAAGACTGTCTTTAGGAAGAGGTCACAGTGGGGTGAAGGAGGGCAGGCATGTAAGTGGAAGCAGGGAAGTCATTTATGCACCATTAAGCTAATGGAAATATGAAATAACATTCTGGACTTCACAGGTCTTTTGCTTTACAAGAAATTCTCATTGGGTTTTTCTAGGATGGGCTTTTTTTTTTTCTTCTTCCACTTTAGGTCATTCTAATATTGCTTACTTGTTTGCAGAAAGCTCTCTGTAAGTAAAGATGCCAACACCATGTATTTCAACTGGCACTGGTGCAGAATATTTTGATATCAATCTGTCTTACAGTAAGCTCCTGAGCATCCTAACCTGTCCTTCTCAGATTCTGCACCCTTCCCTTCTAGGCAGTCATTCATTTGCTTGCTTCATTTGTTCTGGGGAGCTTCTTCTTCTTCTGCCTTTGCTTTTGTCTCTCATCGCTTTCCTGTGCACCATTAAACAGTATGTTTAAAGTCAATTATGTTCCTCAGAACACTCAATTCTACAGGAAATTAACTGTGCTTTATGTATCAGAGCACTTGTGCAGTGCACACTGCAGGATGACTGAGCATTAATGCATGCTCTGCAATCCCCATACTTTACAGTGTGTGGTTCACTTCAGTTTCAGCTAGAGTGGAGCCAAGAATTTCTGCAACTGGGATGCCATGTACTTATTGAGCTGATGTTTGCTAAATGTGGAAAAACACTCAGGTGGTATTACAGAAATGTAAAGTATAAGAAAGGGATGTTGCTATAGAAGGGCGAAGCATTCCTATACTTACTCTAGTCAGGCTTTCTTCTATTTGTATTTGTCCCATCATTCTCTTAGTACAGTGCTCCAGTGTGCCTGTGTTGAACAATAAAAGACAATGATGACTACAGATGCTATATCCTGACAGTTAAGAGCCAGCTGGATGCTGTCCACATCTTTAATTCATCTAGTCAGAGATCAGCAAGAAAATATCCAATTCTGGGATCAGTACCGGGTTTACTTTTGTACATAAAATAGATGGGATTGTTCCCATCTCTGTTCTGCATCCATTACAATTTGAGCTGCTGCAGATAGATATTTGTTAAAAACAAAACAAAAACATTTATTTGCTCATAACGTTTTTTCCAATGCTGTTATAGTTGAAACTTTATTATAAGCAACATGAAACTTTTCCCAGCAAGGCCTGCTCACAGAGCTGAAGGGATCAGTTTCCATCTGGAACATTTTACCTGTAAAACTCAGTGCAGTTTGCTTTTCTAAACTGCAGCATCTCCACTGAAGAACAGAAATGACAGTAGATGCTACAGAACCTGTGACAAATACTCTAACTGGATTATGTGTTTTACAAGTAGAAACGTTTTTGTTGCCTTGTAGAACATTATATTATTTTTTTCTAAATTCTTATTTCTGTATAACTTCTGATAATAAAGTCCAGGGGCTGCTGAACATTAGGATTACAATTATTAGGGAAGAAGTTTTTACATTCATATCATAAACACACACCAACACAGGAGGTAACGAATATTTAGATAAAATAACTGAAGCAATAATTGTTATTGTAACTGAGCCATAAGTAAGGTAACATACCGTTAAGTTGAGGCTATAGAGTTCTAGAAGCTCTATAAAAAAAATAGGCCAGAAATAACTAAATCAGTCTCTCACAAGAAAATTGTCTCACCTTGATTTCCGCATTAGTCACTACACACTGCTGCTGCTCTTTCACTACCACTGAACACAAAACTGTTTTAAATGGCGTCACAGTCAGATGATTAGGATTTTGATTGGATTTTGTCCTGCCCTATTAAGTTTCACATAAATCTTAGCAAGTCACTAGATGGCACCAAAAGTAGTTAACTTTTACGTACCATAATAAAGCAAAACTGGAAAAGTTCCTGCAACGGTACTGCTGGAGGAGAGCAGAGGGTGAGAATCTACAGCAGAAAGCTGGGCAATAGATTTGCTTAAACAACAACCTCGTGTTCCAACTTCAGACAAAGCAATGTAGATACTTTTCAGGCACGTATGTGAATACAGGAAGTTACACATGTGCTAAATTGCTTTGCTGGACTGAGACCTAAATGCTTTCAAACCAATCTTACTCAAACCCACTGTTTATTGAAATGAATAACAAGACACACTGGGTGAAGTTTGGGCTTTGCTGATGAGAAGTTTCAACATGGATTTGAGTGGGAAAAGGATTCCATTCTCTGATTTTGCTGCAATGCTTTAAACTCTCTGCAAACATTCAGCCTGATCTGGTACACATAGAAGCCTAAATCTCAATTAAAATGATGAAGGATTAGAGGCAGTGAATGCAGTCAAATGATATTGGCACTTTTCTGCTAATCTATCTCAGTACTGATCTGTTAAAACGAGGGTGTTGGGCTCCCACAGCGACCACTTAACGTGTTTCTATCATTAATAATGTTAAGAACATTGCACCTCATGAAAATATGAGTTGTTTTGCTCAAGTTTTTTCATTAGACACAGGGGAACATCATCGCATGCCGCAACTTTCTAGAGAAAAACCTCTTTGACGTATTTCCTTTTAGGATTCTGGTGCATTAAAGTAACTGCCTTCAACTGCCAAGAAGTCAGAAAGATACATTACGCATGACCTACTTGTCTGGAGTGGAAAAAACAAGTATACCTATGGCTAGGTACACTTACTAGTGTAGTTAGCACATATAGCACTAGTTATACTAGTTAGCGCAATGGAAATCGTATAGGAATGGAACAGATTCTAACTAACACATCATAACCTTCTTATAGGGCTCAAAACTTTCACTTTTATGTTTAAAAAATGGACTTATTTAAGTTTACGTTGAACGCTGCAGTATGGGAAAGCTATTGTTCATTCTCTACTGCAAATATATCTTTTATATTTTTAGGGCTATTATGAGAACAGTTTGTAGTGTCTTCCTCAAGTTCAACTATAGAAGCATCTTAGTCTTCAATGCTAGAACAAATTATAACAGTGTAGAAACAGACTCCTTGGGGACCTGCAGTGTTACAATACTGTAGCATTTGTACAAGCAATAGTCTGAATGTGGCTTTGAAATTTTAAAAATTGTTTGAAGTAATGACATCCATAGAAAAGGAGGAATCGCTGATTTGATATCATACAATGTCTCACTCACAGACCTTTCATAAATATCTACTGTGCAAGGATAGAAAGTGGCCATGGATAATTCCCAATTAATAAGTTGAAAGAGCACTTGGGTCTTAAAGCTGCTGATGGACAATTTAGTTTTAACCTGGGAAGCACAACATGTTTTATTTTTTAAATTTCAGCTTCTCTCAAAGTCAAAAAGTTTGGACTGGAAAAAAATGCTGAGACTCCAAGATGTGCAGGCCAGCCTAGGAGTTAGCCTGGAGGAAATGCTGACCATTGTCGAGGAGGTATTGCATCCGGAGCCGTACAGCACAGAGGAAATTTGTAAATGCCTGGGAATTAGCCTGGAGGAGCTCCGCTCTCAGATCCTGAGTCAAAACACGCAGAATGGTAAGCATATATGAAATACTGTTCTTTGCTTTACAGTGTTTGTGTTATCTAAAATTGCTCTTTATTAATAAGTGGTGTGCAAGTCTCGCCAGAATACTCCAGAATCGTGAGAATCTAAATAGTAGAATGGGTACACAGTGGAAGAAGTAGCAGATTAGATTTTAGATTAGTCTGTACTAGTTTAGAGTCACCTCCAGATAGATTCAAGAGAAAAGTCTTAAGTTAGGCTTCCTTTTTAAGCCAAATCTCTAACAAAACCAGACATTTTGGCTGGTTACAGCATCAATCAAATAAGTCCTGTTTGCTCTCTCTGAACTGGTGTTCAGGGCTAGCATAGGTGGAGACTTGTTTCTATTTTTGAATGGACAAATACATTATCACTTCATAAACCCTACATGAGGATGCAAGTCTCCTAGGTCACTCTTTCCTGAGAAAGAAGTTCCTGTTTCTGTATATACATATCTACCTATCCAGATCTAGATATAAAAATGTTGGTGCAGGTAAACAATTTACTATGTAAAGTATTTCCCAAATATTCTTGCATATGATTATATATTATTATATATAGTTTTGATTATTGGCACTAATGACTTCTAAAAGAAAGAACTGTCTTAGATGTATATAGTAGGGTTGCTAATAGTACCTAATAATAGAGCATTTATGAAATCGTTAATTTGCATTCATAGTCATTTCCAATTTAGATTAGGTTCTTGCTTTATGAATTTTAAATAACCCAGACTTTTTTGTTTTCTCTGTGGCTTTAATGCCTCTACTGTTTTCCACAGCCAAATTATATCCTTGCCAAGACTGGTTTCAGGGAGGTATATATTTGTTTGCATGTATATCAGTAACATGTATATACATACTGATGCATATATTTAAAAAATATGCACATCTGGAACAACTGTAAATGTTATACATTGACCAGGAACCAGGTCCTGAACCTATAACCTTTTTTGCAAGCCAGTGATATCAGAGAGCATAAAATTATCTTAGTGTCTAATTACATTGCCAGAGGGGTACGGCATGGAATATGGTGTCTTAACCCAGCTCATTACCTTCATAGGAAGAGCTCTGTTAACTCTGTGCTGTACATACAAGAACAGACTGAGCTGTGTGTGCACTCAGCAACGTTTTCATGGGAAACTACAGAGTTCTGAGCGTGTTGTGCTGTGCCCTATCTCTCCCCTTCATGAAGGTGTACAAAACTCACAGAGAGGTTTGTAATCCCTACCCCTGGTTTACAAAACACAGTTCTACAGTTCTGTTGAACTGAATTGTTTTTTACAGATTGTGTTTTTCCACACCCCTTCAGAAAAAAAGGTCTGGATAAAAAGTTGAAACACAAAAGCTACAGAAGAAACTGAAGGAAATGTTATACTGGGGCTCTGAATAGTATTTGCAGATGTTTGCTGAATGGAATCTGTATGACCATGATTTCATTTGATAAGGCCAATTACAATGGGTTATGCTGCAAGTCTCTTTGCATGTACAATATAAAATTAAATAAGAGATTTCTGTAAAACTATACACAATAAAGAAACGAGACAGACAAAGAAATAATCTAAATCCACTGTTGTGTGTTTTGTTAACACACTGGACAAATTGCATTTTATGTTGGCTTTGGAAAACCAGAGGGTGTTTGACAAAAATATTTTTCTTATCTCCCCCCTACTTTCCGACTGTTCTTTAATAACAAAGCCTCACTTCTTCATGTGAGAAAACCTACCAGTCCAGTATGTCATTTCTGCAGAGTATTTCTAAATATCATTGAACTTTTGCTCAACGTGAACAAAGAGCCCTAGCAGTTAAAGGTACCTTTCTTCCTTTGTAAAGGTTGCCCTAGCTTTCCTGTTACAGGATTTCAATGTTAAATGTAGAATACCTGCATAAGAAACACCAGGTAAATCATTTACTGGATTCTGAGTTTTCTCTGTGACTGAGTCAATTCGTTTGTATTATTCAAAGTCCAGAGTTAATGTTTTGTACAGACCCTGTATCTCATGTTTAAGGATATGAAAGAGCTACATCTGTTACTTTAGCCTGAAGTCAGCTTTCCTTCATCTGCTCCTCCAGTGATGACACTGTGTGCTTGCCCAAACTTCCGTACATATGTTAGGCTGACCAAAGAAGAACTCCAGATCCCAAAGAAAAACTATATGGGCAGGCTTTGGGCAAGTCTCAAGCTGTGGCTGAATACACAACTTCTAATCTCTTTTATAGGAAGGTACTCAAGGACTCCTGCAGGGTCTCACTGTGCAGCTCGCTTGTTCCCCAGGTTTGGAGAGGTACAGGTGCTGCATAGTCTCTATAAAGCCTCATGCAGCTGTTCCTCGGCCAACTCACAATCCTGAGTTTAAATCCCCCTTCCAAATGTTTACACATGGATTGCACTTGCGGCTTCTGAACATCTCTAGAACAAATAATATTTCTTACATTTGAAGATACGCTATACCATAATTTTGTCTTGGAGTTGAAGGCTTCACAGAACATTTAGTGTGTGGTTATTGTGGGACGTGAAGTATTTATAAGCCTCACCACAAAAGGATACTTGCTTGTAAAATAATGTATTCCTTTAACTATAAGATGTTTTTTCCTTCTTAGATCAGTTATTTTTAAAACATTTTTTTCCTTTTCACATATAAAATTATAATCTAATTTTGATATTTAGATCTGGGAATGAAATCATCATCAGAATAACAGGTATCTGTTTACCATCAAGATTTGGCTGTGTAACTGCCCTCTTGTTTGTCCCCTGGGAAGACAGTGAATCTTAAACCTTAGTGTAGTTGCAACGAGTGGTGTTTGAATAGCATTTCATTCCCACTGCCAAGTCATCTGTATTAATGGTGATCTCAGTGCAAGAACAATTTTTACTCTCTTTGTGCAGAAAATAACACACGACTTCAAGTGAAGGTGGACACAGATGTGCTGCTCAGCAATATGTAAAGCTGTGCCTGTGCATCAGTGGAGTGCCCTTGTCTTACAAGAGCAGAATTTATCTCCGCGTTGGTGACCTCAGAGCGCTTCCCAGCTTGGGGGTTGGGGTGACAGCTTCATCCTGATCCACGTCATGGAGGAAATTGAGCACATAACATTCTCCTTCCAGAAAGACACAGATTGCTTGGGATGAGCCCCCAAGCAATGGGCCACTCCTGGCAGATCCCATACAGGTAGAAGCAGACATTTTGGGTGGGCCATAGGTTACGCATAGGCATGAATGGTCTAGGTTAATTGCAACAGTTTTGCTAAGGCTCGCATTTCCCTGGAGAATTACTTTCAGCTGGTAGTTACTGTTCTCTTAGAGCAGGTGTCTGCTAAATGGGTCACTGAATCCAGCAATGACTGGTCCTTTGGTTTATTTTCAGAGAGCCAGATTACAAACAGTTATTTGAGCAGTCCCAGCAGAATAACTGTTCCCCACTTTGAGGAGGGGGTTCACAATCTGGCTCAAATTAAAGCCATCTGGCAGCATTTTCTTATGTACATTATGAGCCAGAAACGTTCACCCTCTTCATGTTCAATCAGCAGGATGCCTAACAGAGAAAGGTACTGTTCCATGTGAGTAACGCTGGTAGAAACTGTCCCCTACATGATTTTGTATTGGTGAATTTTTCCCGTTGTAAATTTCTAACAGTTCCATCAGCCATGTGTAGCTCATTAATCTACAGTGAAGCAGATCGTAAGAAGCTGCCAAAGCAGCTAGAAAAAAATACACAGCCTGAAGAGGCTGGTCTTTTGCTAAAGGTCAGACAGAATTGTACAGGAAGCCCCTAAAGAAAGGAATCTGCTGAAGTTGAAGTTACAGCAAATAATGTGAGTTGCTGGGAAGCCACAGTGTTTAATTATAAAGAAAAAAAAAATCCATTTAAGTGGAGAGTACAGGTTTACACAGTTTTCATTAAGTTAAAACAAAAAATATGACCGTACAGTTGCAAATGCACAGTAAAGTTTTCTCTTACATTTAACTAACATTTGCTTGGGACAAATAGCGCAGGATTTTTGTTTAAGAGACTGTATATGGATTTTGGACTAACTTCCATTAACATTAGTCAGTTGTCTCTTAACAAATGTCAAGGTTCTCCCTGCAGTGTGAAACATTATTGCACTGGAAAATGTCACTGCTTCCTTCAAGGGCATTTAGTGGCTGTAAGGGAACTGCATCTAGCTGCTCATAGGTCCTCTGTAGAGGAGCAAGCGGAGGCGCACGGAGTACACAGAGGGTCAGCAAGAGCTCTGACATTCTAAAAAACAGAAGTGGAGTGGTAACACAAAGCAGTTAACAGTGGATGAGATTCCTTGAGGACCATGTCTGCTTTTTTTTGTAGAAATGCAATTAGTGGAGCAATGACCTGAAGGTGGGTTAGTGACAGTGACTGCAGGTGAAGTGTGCTAAAAACTTTACAATTGGGCTTATTTTGACTTCTTGTGTTTATGTTCCCTTAGCTACATGTGTTCCAATCCATAAACAACATAGCTCACCTTCACTTCAGTCCACAAGAAATGTTTTTTAGGTGTGCAGCTGATATCGTACAAAATAAATCAATCTCTATATTGTCTCTTCTGAAAGAGACAAAAAGGACCCCAAGATTCTGATTGTGCCAGCATGCCTAGGTCTAAAATCAAACAGCTCTCTGTTGCATGGCAGTGAGCAACACAGAAAGCAGCAGAGAGAAAATACATGGTGATTTTCAACAAACAGCTTTTGACAGCCTGTTTCTAGTCAGAGGCTGGATCCCTCGCTGATACAAATCTCCATCAGTGCAAATGGTGCTACATCATTTTAAACAAATAAAACATGAGAACTGGATACTGCAGAGATCCTTTTATGGGAGAAGCATTACTCTAGACATGTGCTGGACAATTGCTCTCATGCCAGCGTGGCATAATGTCACTGCAGCAGGGATTTTACATTCCTCTCCATTCACAGGAGAAATGGGTATCAGAGGGCAAGTCAGGCCTCAGGTGGGACAAACATTTCTGCAGGCTGCCCTTCCACTGTTAGGAGAGTGAGCTGAGGATGTCTGCACCCCTCATTTGGAAATTAAGTGGAGAAACCAGGACATTATACTTTTCTGTATTAGGAAAATGTATGTATATTTTTAGTTAGGTTAAGTACCTGATTTCCATAAACAATAATAGATTTAAGGACCCAAATGCTTTTAAGAATCTGGCACTGGTTCCCTAAATCCTGCTTTTTGGCTGTCCTTTGAGCCCAAGAAGACAAGATCTTATAAGCCAGTCCTGCGTAACACTGCATGCTTTACTTCTAGGGCTTCAGTTTCTCTTCTGCATAGGCCCTGCAGGCCTAGCTCAGATATAAACTAATCATTTTTGCATACTTAAGTTTTCTTTTAACCGTGACAAAATGTGACTTAGGAGATTTATTTTAATTGTAAAAGATGTGGTACTTTTCCCATGAAGCACACAGATTCTGATCAGCTCCCGCACCCTTCTAAAATCATGGGTTCCACAGCTCCTTGGCATGGCCTATCAATTCGCTTAGGTGGGTCTGACGTACAGGCAGTGATGCAAGCAAGAAGATTCAAATATAGATGTAATTTCTGGAAATAATGTGTGTTGTGCTATCTTTTATTATATGGAGATGGTTTGTTGGACTGTCCATCCAAACAGAAGAGATCCAGAGTTTCTCTATTACCAGAAGCATTTGGTGTTGATAGCTGAAAATATGCGAATTGTTTCATTGCTTTAGAATAGGACTTGCAGAGAACAGAGGTGTTTGCTGTCCTGAAGAAAGTTCTACCTGAACAGCAAGTATTCTGCCAGAGAGAAAAGCAAACTATACTAAACCTGTTCCAAACACAAACATTGTTTTCTGAAATAAAACGCTGTCTGTAAACAACCATCAGCTAACATAACGATAGCAGACTTTACCCAATACTAATTCTGTAAATCTCCACAAAGGACAAGTCTGAAAATAGCACACAGCCACTCTTTCTCATTTGAGAACCGCTTGCCAGGATTGCGCTGGCACTGAGAGAAAGCCAGTGTCGAGGCAGCAACTTCTCCCCTACACCCACTGAGTCTCCCCCTCGCCCAGGACGCAGCTCAGACCTCCGGCACACCGCCAGCACACGGTGCCCACTGCAGCTCCAATTCGTAACATGACCAGCACAACACAGCCGCAGAGATTTTAAAGGTAATCTGGCCAGTAGAACATTGCTCTACCAAAGGGTGGTCTCGGAATCAATCACAGCTTTTGGCAAGTCTCTTGCCTTACAATTGAAAACAGACACGTTTTCAGTTCATTCTTTGGGTTACTACTGTTCAATGGTGATTTACAAGAGAGTGTGAGCTATGGCAATCTCTCACGCAACTTTAGATATTCCCTAAATGAATGCACATTTAGAAATCTCCTTGCTCTAAAACAATGGCTTATAAGAAAAGCATATTTAAAGAGACACCATCCTTAAAAAATGCCAAGCAGCCTTTCTCTAACAGAGCAAACACCAAGGCATGCCCCACAGAACACAGCGCGAGTAACTCCAGCAGTAACAAAGCACAGTGGGGCGAAACACACCTCTGAGCAGGAAAAGAGAACACACCTTTCCCCTGTGATACTCACAAGAAGACGTTTCCTGGGGCACCCAATTTTGTCGTTTTTGTTCCATTCTGTTCATGCTGAGAAATGCAGTTGGAGGCCTGCTCAAAAGGCAGCATCAGAGCGTTTCTCAGTAGCAGGCTGTATTGAGTTACAAAATACATAGCACTAGAAGCATTATGACCAGTAGCAGAAAACTCCTGTGTCCAATATTTCTCCATCATTTTAGACTATTTATGTCCCTCTCAGCACTGTATTTTCAGCATTTACAGTTGTGAATTACACTTACTCTGGAAAGATAAAAAGATGTTATACAGACACTGTTAAGTTTTAGTAAGGGATGCAATCTGGAGAGCACATATGAAAGTCTTCACACTGGACAGAATATTATTTTCAGTCTATCAAGGAAGACTTGAGTGTACAATTGCAAATGTTGATTGCTGCAATCACTGAAGTGGTTCCGGAATGACTGTCTCCACAGAACAGCCCAACAGGAACTGCATGTGTCCAGGTCAGAAGGCAAGTTCCAAATCTAGGGCTTGTTTGTCTCTGTTTGCCCTTTTTCCTCTGCTGGAGTGTTTCATCAGCCATCTTAAACAGTGAGAGGCACCAGAAACCAATAGCAGGAAAGGGTCTTTGTTCTGGACGAGAACTGACATGTAGAACCAAACTGAGGGATACTCTGAGGTGCTTGAGCTACAGTGATGAAACATACTACAGCCGGTGTTCCAAGTAAAGACTTACGTTCACTTACCTAGTACTTACAACCCCAAAAGCTCAAGTAAAGCAATTTTATCATCAGTTGTCATACATGCTTCTGTAATACTTCTTCAATAGCAGTTACAAGTCCATGGTATTAAAATAAACAGAAAGGTACTGAGTGAGGAAAAATAATGACCTACAACAGCCTAACCCTCCTCTAAGTCACAGCAGTTTGATGGGCTTTTAACCACAGACATTCCCTTTACTGCGCCCCACTGTCCAGGCTTGGCAGGGGTCCCTGCCTCGATGGCCACACAGGTTTGAGCTCCCTCCCACCCATCCCAGAGGAACTGCTCCATTTTTCATGGCATGATTACAAAATGTTAGCCGAAGTCTTTGCACCAGCCTTTGATCTTAGGTCAGTGCTAAGAGGGACTTGTTTGGACCTCTCTTTTTATGTCTACACAGGCAGCACTGACACTGGACACTGGTAACATACCAAAAATAAACCCTCAAAATCAAACTGAAAGCACCTGCTTCTTTCAGCATACCATTAACACAGTATTATCTGCAGTCGAGGTGAGACTGCACTGTGGAAATTAGAGAGGGTTTCCTTACCTAGGCACCAGGAAGAATGAATAATGCCATTTCAATTAGTCTCAGTAAAAAAAGGGAAAGGGAAAGGGAAAGGGAAAGGGAAAGGGAAAGGGAAAGGGAAAGGGAAAGGGAAAGGGAAAGGGAAAGGTCTGGCTGCACTGTTAAATAATTGATGCAGTCTAGGGCTGGAGAAGTTGCACACAGTGCCCAGGGCAGCAGGTTCAGGCAGCCCGCAGGGCACCAGGCACTCTCCAGTGCTCTTGTAACTCCTCTATAGTTTGAATCTCATATTTTTCAAATGACACTCTTTCTGATAAGTGCATAAAGTCATAAAACTAGAAAAATACACACATCATATTTTGATGAAATCTAAATACCACATTATTTGGGCTTTTAAAGATGTGGGTGAGGTTTTGGCAGAAGCTTTTGGCAGAGTTTCAGCACAGAGTGTTCGATTATGAAATATTAATTCTAAAAATAATTCTTTTACTGTGTTTTTATATTTCATTATTCCTTTCCTAGTAAAAATTGATAACTGTGGTGCTTCGTATTTTCATTCTGTTTAGTTTCCACCTTCAAGTTACACCAGCGTGCAAAGCATGTGTATAGCGAAGCTGCCAGAGTGCTGGAATTTAAGAAGATATGCAGCGAAGCACCTGACAATGCAATCCAGCTGCTGGGAGAATTAATGAACCAGAGCTATATCAGCTGCAAGGAAATGTATGAATGCAGCTGTCCTGAACTGGATCGGCTGGTAGACATCTGCCTGTAAGTTCTGACCACAAGGAAGAGTAATCCCTTGTTGAGAATATTGTTTGAAATGATGAGAAAAGATGACGTTGTTGGCTATTGCAATTTTAAAATGAAAGTATTCTTGTCTCTTATTACAAAATTAATCTCCTGCAGGGACATTACATGGTCAATTGTTTCCCTACTGACATCTGTGTAATACTTTCAGATGAAAGCTGCAGTTTATGGCTTTATTACAGATTTTGCTTTTGGATTGATTCATCATCACAAGTGCTATGTTAGAATGTGTTAGCTATTCTTTTTTAACTTGTAGAAGTCATAACTGGTTTTCTTTAAGCATCGTCTTAGTTGCTTTATTTGAACTCTCTCTCTTTTCAATATTACTTAACCATTTCAGAACTGTCACCATGGGACTTCTAGAGCATAAGTTAACTGTTAGGTTGCTTTGAAATCGTAATGATAACTTGTTAGATGCTACTGCATCTTTTCCTTTTTACTTGAAAAGACATCTTAACTAGTGCACCAGATAGGTTGGAAAGTGGCTGGCCATTTAAATGATGAGCATGCTTACCAATGCAGTGGCTGGCACAGCTTCACCTAAGCCTTCACACTCTTCAGCCTCCCTGCCCCAGCCTCATTCATTTACTGCATTCCCTAACTCAGTTTGGCCGCAGTAAAACCAGACCTCTCAACTCTAAAATGCATTCCCTGTCATTTGCCCCTTCTCTTCTCTCTTTACTCCTCCCCAAGAAGCAGGCCATTATTTTCATAATTCTACAGTCACATCTGGTATAATCATGTGTTAACAGAGAAAGTAAAAATGAATACTTAGTACTCACATTTGATATGGTATTTCGTCCACACCACAGCAACAGCACAAAAGGATGCACACACTTCAGTTAATTCCCTTTTTTTCTGGTATGTTTAATCACACGACAGACAACTTATGCTAACTTTGATCTAAATTCAGTGAAAAGAAAAGAAATCAGTGGTTGGTAATCACTTTAACAGGGGCATACGGGAATAAATAGCTGCCCAGCAAAGCCATCTCCCTGCTACTTTATCCCTGCCATTGCTCCAGCCAGCTCTCCCAGCTGCTGCTCTCATTCATTTCATCACAGACCGTGGAGATACCACCTCTATACTTCTGCTCACCTTTTACTTTTCCTGTTCTCCATGGAGAAGGGCACACATAGTTTGGGAAACTCTGCCCTAAGACAGAGCATTAAGAGGTTACTGCCATTCCAGGAAATGTAGTGTGCCGTAAGTGTTTGCAAGCCTGAGGTCAAGGAATGTTGTTTCCCTGTTGTGCAGAATTAGAGACTATAAAAGTATCCTATCTTTTCTCCAAATCTCTAAATCTGCGAGAAAACAGAATCTGCTTCAGTTCAACATCAATAAAAGGAACACCTTACCATTTAAAAATGAAGGTTACAAAAGCACTTGCTTACCAGCAATTAATTATATATAACTAATACTCATCAGTCTGGCTTATAATGAAAATGGGAATTTTACAAAGAGGCAACATGCCATATACATTCTTACTGTTATAGCCATACACATTTATTAAGCTGTAATACCCATTTACCAGGTTTGTAAATTGATACAGTATGATACTGATGATTATTTAATACATCAGGTTAGTCTCATTAATTTGGCAGACAAAACGGAAAGCCAAAAAACCACAAACTTAAAAACCAAATGCAAGACTTTTGGACATTCACAGATTGTTTTGCATGTGGGATGCATATGCTGTTTTGTGATAAAACACAGAAGTCCTGATAGCCATTGGACAGTCTGGTAGTAATTTAACAACATAATTTTTGTTCCTTCTCTCGGGAGCCATTCCTGTATGCAGCGCACAGGCCGTGTTCAATCTGTTACATCACACAGCAGTCACATAACAGAATGAGCTCCCACAGTCCCTCCGTTAGTGAGGCAGTTGCAGCATGGCTGTCCCAGCCACTCAGGGAGGGCGTCTCCACAGTCGGCTGGAGACATGAATCGTGCTCTGCGGAGTTATGGAAAAGCATGGGCTGCAAAGTCCAGATCTGGTACCAGCCATCAGCAGCCTGTTCTGTGACTCCACCGACAGAGGAAAAGCCTTACAAATGAACCCCTGTGTTATTGTTAGTTACAGTAACTTCCCAATAGTGATTTCTTGGTCAGCAGTACCGGATAGCTGAGCTCTGCAGATGTAACCAGCCACATCAGGTGCCTTCACTAAGGTGTTCTAATAGGGCAGGTTCTCAGAAATGCTGAGAGAAAACTACCATTTCAAGTAGGTATAAACTAACAAGTTCTACACCACAGCACGGGGTTACCTGTGCTATATGGAATAGGCCAATACTGATGTTTGGAGCAGTGTACAGCAGAACGAATCCCAGTACAGGGATGGAAATTCTGTTTCTCATTTGTGCTGAGCTCTGTGCTTTCACAACTCTGCAGCCTAGCTTGAGTGTTGTGCCACTAGCTTGTAGGCAGCAGCACTGACAGCCACAGAACCAAAAGGAAAGGCGCACGCAGTCAGGATTTCACTAAATTGAATTGAAATTAATCAGACCGTTTCGGTTCCATGGACCAAAATATAAATAGCAAAGAAAAAAGTGACGTGTGTGCCCATGTTACATCAGATTTCTAACTTATCAACAGAAGTGCCCATGGCTAGTGTGATGGGCATAGCTGCGTGCCACAGCAGAGTGCCATTAAATAAAAAATGATTTCTAACTGGTATTTTTTAAATGATTGCAACTGGTTTTTATTATATTCATTGCAAAAACCAAATAAATTATTAGTTTATTCTTTACAGTCTTATCCATCGTGGATAGTCCTTAAGAAATACCTCCTTTCTTAGAAGTTCAGTACTCAATAATGACTTTCTGATTAGAGTTGTAAAAGCATATAGCTATTGTAGATGCACGCAGCTTAAGCCAGCATGTCATTTTTAAAACTATTGGGAAAAAAGCTCAATTTTTCTCAAGTTGTGCATTAAAAAATGAAGGCATGTAAAATCTCTAGTCACTCTAGGAAACCTTGGCTGATGTGACTACAGGAATGGCCTGCAACTACATAAATTACATTCTTTACTTCAAATGATATACAGCTGCCCTGTAACTTTAAAAAGCCCTTCCAAAAATACATTCCACAGAATTGCCCAAGTCTACTGCTGCTCTCTCCTTACAAGGTTTAAACTGTAAGAATAATCTGCATATCCAGATGTTTTCTGTTTTGCCCAGATCTTTATGTTTTACTGTACAACATCTGCCAAGAAGGAAAGGGATCCATACTTGCTGTGGTTTGTAGTGCTGAAAAGCGTAACCGCCAGTGGGTCAGTATTTTATTCTTCGTGAAGACAGAAGATTTGTACTTTGTCTAACCTCTCTCGTGCTATTAATAGCTGTTTTACCTGTTGGCCTTTTAAAACACAGGTGGTTTACTAAACAGTTAAGGGACAAAAAGCTGAAACTGAGCTCGCAAATTCCTTAGGTGCTTTCTCCCGGACTGTTTGAATACTGGAAATAACTTTCAGTCCCCTATTCTCCATCTTTTGGAGGTATAAAAGCTGATAATTTTTGTTACCTGCCACGCCTCTTCCAGTGGAAGATGGCCAAATCCTCTATGATCACTTTTTAAATGGTACAGTTCTTAGGTTATATCCAGGTGCATTATTTTCTTAAGTCTGGAGCTATGATACAATTTGAAAGATCAACTAACAAAAAAACCCAACATGTTTGCAGCACTTTCAGAGACAAAAAAAAACCAACAGAACTTAAAGATGTTGTTCAAATGCACACTGAGCTACAAAACAAGTACACACCACATCACCCCTAAATTAATACTGAAATCCCATCGCGTTAACTCCATGCTTTCTAAATAGCTGGTTCACAAATGCGAGCATTTTGAATTAACAACATTGCTCAGTGTTTTTCAGCTCTCCCAACAGAACTGTTTTTAAAATGAGTTACTTCTGTGTTCTACCTATTGCTGCTATATCCCAAACTGTGTGACTTCCATTCTTATTCATCTCGCATTTGCTGTAGCATTTGTTTTCACTCTCATATGCACACAGTTCTCTCTTTAATCAGTGAGCACTGGAGCAAGGTAGATGAACTCTTCAAGAAGCAAAGGACTCAGCTGAGTGCCCCCAACACCGGATGACTGACATCCATGGCCTTTCTTTACGTGCTTCTTCTCACTCCCCACTACTTGTCCTTGTGACTGCCCTATAGTCCAGGCAGTGCATTGGGTACTTTCCCACATCTTAAATCCACATCACCCTCTGTGTGGGTGAGTGCTCCATCCACAAGATTATTGTTGGAAGAGTCACTGTTTGCTCTTACTGCTCCTTTCTTCATAAATGCATACTTTAAATGCTGGTGCACAAGAAAAGAATGTGCGGCTATGAATCCTGCTTTACCAGCAGAGCCTAACACAGGACTGAGCTGAGCGAGACTCAGTGGAAGAGGCAGTTTCAGACTTCATTTTCTCACGTTTGGCACAGGTGATTCCCGTGCACTGCTCCCCAGTGTGCAGAATCAGATGCTGACCTCTGCTCATCCCAGGTGCCCGACATCCAGGTATCAGAGTGCCGAGCCCCTCAGCGTTACGCCCTCAGCATCAGATCACATCGCATTTGAAACCGGTAGCCACAGTATTTTGAAACACAGTGACTTCAGCTCTGAAACAGGCGTATTTTCTGCCTACATAATGCTTTATTTCAACTGAGTATTTTAAAATGACTCAGTAAAAATGAGGCATGATCATGACCACAGAGAATTATGAAATCAATGAAAGGTTCAGAACAATTCTGAAGGGATTTCAGTTGCCCACCAAAATAAAAGCCAGACACCATCTGAAATACAACGTTCTGACTGAGGTAACAGACAGAATGAATACAGACAGCTGATTTACCGCTTTGAAAAGAGGATTGGGCTTTACAAAGTCAATGGGAATTTCCCTATTGATTGCAATTGAGACTGGATTGGATCCTGCTCATTTTAGGAGGTTGCTCCATGGACCATAAACTACAAAAAATTGCATCAGAGAATGAGCGGCTTACAGGAATAATAAGAAAAATAAAACACCAACAGGAAATAAAGAAGGAACATAAAATCGAGTCAATATGCAGGGTGGCACCACACAGACACACTGAAGAAAGTGTTTCTATTCAGGAAGATATGTAAGCATGTTTAGAATGAAACACATATGCAAGTACTTGCTTGAAATATGACCTAAACTTCTACTAACCCAGCAGTATACCACATTCATTTAACATAAAACACACATACAAAAAATCAGTACAGCCTATTTGGAATGAGCTGTCATTTTCTAATACATTGTTCACATGATGCTCACTCTCCTAAAACCAATTCTAGGGCCAGGAAGGCTCACAAAAGCATGGATCTTAGAATCGTATCACAAGTACTTGTTTGCAAATCAGATTAGACCTCCCATGAGAATAAAGATTTTGAATGAGTTTTCTGAACCATCCTGTTCTGACTGTGTTAGAAACGTCCCAAAGGCCATGTGGTATTTTCCTACTTTTTTTGAATCTAACTAAAAATAAGCAGCACAGGTCAGCAAACTAACGAAAGTAATTAGTCTAAATTCTAATGAGGTGGCATCTGAATGTTGCACAGTGATGGCACGGGATTTGCTGCAGGACATTTCTAGCAGGCTTGTATGAGGCTGGGAATGGTTTATATTTCCAGTGTTTTATTTGTCATTGTTCCCTCTCTTCATCCTCCTTATTAAGGACATTTTTCTTCTCCTTTTTGACAATATATTCTTATTTTACCTTTACTGCTGTAAATCTGTTAAGTTCACGTGGTTCCTCTAAAGATGGATACCTATCCCAGTCCTTTCAGCTTTGACAGATGTGTGACTCTGCGTATGACTTCTGAGGAGTTTCTGAACTCTCCTTTTCTTGACTGGCCCTCTCAGTCATTCTGCGGAAGAAGCCTGTGAATCTTCAGCATGTTTTAGTTCTGTCCTGGAAGAATAGAGCTATTTGTCTTTGCCACATTAGAAAATGGCTTGCATGCCTACATCCTGTGCAATTAGCTTGTGAACCCTCTTTTGTTATTTTTGTCATGTATTTCTGTTTTCACTTCTGATGCCTTATGAATTTTGCTAGCAAAATCCCTTTTTCTTCCCCTGCTTTCTTCATCTCAGCTATGCTGTGATCCTTAGAACAGCTGATGTTGAAGCATTGCAAAAGAGGATGACTCAGAACTGACAGAAATGACTACATTGCAGTTTAAAGGGTTAGAATTTTTTTGTCCAAAATGGTAATTACAGATTGCTGGACTATCATGTGCAACCAAGTGAACTTAAGCAAGTCAGACGACACTGATGTATTTTTTGAGTGCAGCATTCACTAATTTTCTATAGGAATTTTATATGTGACAAATTGCCCCCTTCTGGTCTATTTTTCATTATTTTTCCTATTATTTTGTTTTAGGCAATTCGGGGCCGTCGGGTCACGTCTGACTGGAGCTGGATGGGGCGGCTGCACTGTGTCAATGGTGCCTACTGACAAGCTGAATACTTTCCTAAAAAATGTTAAAAAAGCTTATTACCAAAATGATGGCCAAAGGTTAGCGCTGGAGAATAATGGTCTCTTTGCTACCAAACCTGGAAGAGGAGCTTTGGTTTTTGTTGAGGCCTAAAGAACATAAAAATTGTAAAGAAACTATGTAGAGCATTTATAACTGGCAGGACTTCCCCCGCCACAATAAATGAAAGCCTTTTCTGGGTTTTATTATGAGTAGTTGCTATTATCAGAATATATTTCTGAAGAAGGAATTAATCAGGAACACTGATTACAAAATCTATTTTTCCCAATATTAAAATATTTTCAGTGTAAATGCTAATTTACCAAAATCTATTGACACACTGTAATTGAAAAAGTGATGATTGTTTATTACAACGGATCTTTTCTTTTTCTTTTTCTGCCATAAAAGCAAGACCAAGTAGAGCACTAAACTGTTCTCCTGAAGGGCAGGAGCCTTGCCATGTGTGCTTACATCAGGGGCCAGATGTTGTTTCTGGAATCCTATGAAAACGGAAGATCAACCTGATGAATTAAGAACAACAAAAACGGATGGGCCTTGCTGCACATGCCATGTTTCATGCTAGTCTCAGATACAATTATTAGTCTTGCAATTAATGACAATATTGGAAGGGAACCTGCGGGCCACGTAAAACATTGGGAACACTTTATGTTAAGCAGGAAACCTTAACTTCTAGCTATCGTTCTTCTGTACCTCGGCGTAAGGGTGACTGATGAATGTTTCAGCGAGAATGCTGTCTGTGACCCATCCAACAAGACAGCACGCTCGCCTTACCAAATCAGTGAACAAAGCACAAAGTAAAGGTTGGCTGTGAGTTGTCCAAGTACCACACGCTCATTGTTCAGTCCTAGCTGCGTTTACAAGGTCGATGAATTTGCATTTTCAAGCTGTGGAGGATTAAATACAGCCACAAACTGCACTTTCCTTCAATTCATGCTGTGCCTAAAGAAGCTCCTGACAGGCTCCAGGTTGCAATCACAAATCACTGGAAGCGTAATACCCACAGTTCATTGCCCTTCTCAGTAGGAGAAATTAAATGGTCACACAGAGAGGTGATGTACATTGAGATCTACCTCTGCTTCCAACCAGAAGATCAGCTTCCTGTGCCCTGTTTCACAGCACACTAACTGGCACTTCTCTGCTGTCTACAATGAAAATGCTGAAGTTTTGCTCATGTCGTAACCCTTTCAGCCATAAAAGTCATAACATGTGCATATTTTTATGATGCTAAGCACATGTGAATGTCCAGAAGTCTGTATCATATTAGAGATCTCTCAAAAGAGATCATCTGTACATTACCCACACTAAGTCAGGCCAAAAATGAATTCTTAGAGGCTACTAATTCTGTGAGAGGACTCTGCCAAATTTGAGCACAGCAGATGAACAAGAGCCAACGCAGACAGCCAGATCTTTTCAGGAATCTCAAGGGGACATGTAATGGCAATAGTATCACTAAAGAAGATTTTTGTATTCTGACAACCAGGAAGAGTGGAACAGAGAACGCTGTAGATCAAGCAAATCAAGCACTTGAGAGAAAAAGACAGGGTCTGGGCACAAAGGGAAGAAATGAAGAGATGGGATTTAGAGGGAAGACAGTTAAAAGGATGCAGTTGAGAAGAGGAAGGCAAGGGATAAGGGAGACAGTAAAGAACAGGAGCTAGAATTACAGAAAGGTTTACTCTCTAAACATTGCTAACACTATCAATGGAAATGTAATATCTTGTAGTCCGTTTGTAATGTACAGCAGATGTGCTGTGCTTGCAACCAAAGCTGTAAACGTAAGACTCCAAAAATGAAATAACTGTTGGTAAACATCTTCAAGAAATTCCAAGTTAACAGAGAGATTTCGAGGAAAAATAAAGCCATGGCTTTACGACCACCTGTCTTAATAAATACCATCCTTCGTTTGAGTGAGTTCCTCCTCATTATCCTCTCATGGAAACGGCGTACAACGCAGTGCATACCAATTCATTCAGTAATGCACTTGAATTGAGCTTCAGCTGTATTAATGGAAGCTCTAACCACTGTATGAGAAGAACAAAGATATTTTAGATTCTTTTCTATTTCTTGAGAATGTCACACACTGTCATGGTAGCTTCCCAAAAACATGTGGGCAAGTTTATGGGCTGCAGTGCATTTCTGTGAATTGTATAAATTATATTCTCATTTAAACAATTCTTAAACAAAGAAGAGGAAAGCAGAAAACTGGCACAATGTAAAAGAGTAAAAAACGAACCTTCTAAACTTCTGATTCATTTCTTTCCTTTCTCTTTTAATTGCTTCAATGTTTTTACCAGAATTTTGCTGTAATCTGCAATTAATAAAAACAATTTTTAAACAAAAAATTGAATGAATCCATGTCTGTTTTATGGTTATTTGCTTTTAAAACCTTTGAATGCTTTTTTAAAAATATAATTGTTTTACAAGAAAAAAAGAGCGTAAGAATGAAACGTCAACGATGCGTAAAGTAAGCAGCAAGAACTTTGGTAGCTTTTCTCAGAGCAAAGCAAAACAATTTCAAATGAGAATTTCTGCACATAAAGCAGCAACAACTGAGCATGTTAAGGCTTTCCAGATCTGTACTTTAAATCACTTTTTCTACCTATATCTCTTTTGCAGTTAAAAATAAAATTATATAAAATAATACCACTTAAAAATAAAAAATAACACCTGGAAAACAGATAAAATCCAGCATCAGAGAACGGATGTAGAGGTGACTCATACTACTAGCACAAGCCATGATTATCACTGGAGTGTGATTTCTTTTATTGTAACGTCTGACTGTAATCCATTCAATCGTGAGTTTAATCTTACTGTGCAGTAAATGGGCCCTAAGCCTTTCCAAAAAGAATTTGGAATAGAGACACTGTCAAACATCCAACTGCAGCAACACTGCCTGGTGCCATATTAATACTCTGTATTATCTTAATCCCATTGACATGTACTTCTTCATCTCAGCATTTGCTGACTCCATTATCTTGTATGTAGGGATCTTCATACCTATGTGACCTCAAATAGAAGAGTAACTTTGCTGTCCTTGATGATGACTTGATGGGAGTGGATCACGACTGTCTATTTGACATTAGCTCCCTGGGACTTGCTCTGTACACAAACGCATAAAACTAGCTTAGAAAGTAATATAAAGCAATTATTTGCATAACACCTTCAGGAACATTAGTTTCTAAATGAACACGATCTGAATGTCAGCTTCCACGTTAGTAATTGCTGTGCACTTACTCTATAATCCTCTGAAATCCCTGAGTCCATGTGCCCCTTTCATAACATCTTGAGAGATCAGAGCAACTGCTGTGCTACAATTTCAGTCAAAAGAAGGTTTGTGTTTTCAGCTAACTTAGAAGTTGTTTGTGTGCTCAGGCCCAACCAGACACAGCCATACACGCACTGAACAATATTCACAAGACCTTGTTCTAAAAAGAGACACCATGCCACGCAAAACATTCCTGTTGTGGAAGGACTGAAGTAGTTCTTCCTGATTCTTGGGACTATTGTGCTTCAGCAAGAGGAAGGAGCTCTATGAAATAACTTAATGCTGCAGCAACAGCATGAAAGCCAGAGCAGGAAAGCTTAACGTCACTAAACCCATGAGTCTTACAGCATGTTAGATTTTAAATGCTAATTTTGAGAGGGGAGCCTTGCTGTGGACAAGTCACTTGTTCACACTGTGGCTGCAGTGCAGAAAGCAGGATGAGGGGATATGAAACTGGCTGAGAAGTGCTCCCTGTAAGCACTGCCAATCAGTACTGCTGTCGCATACGCACTACTGCAGCTCTTCCAGCCCCGCTAGGCTTTCTGCTGCATAAAAACCACATAAATGGAATATATTTATATATATATATTAATAATATATATTAACACAAAAATATCACATAAATGGAAGGCAAAAGTTGAATGGCATTCTTGATCATCTGTCTTATAATTTGCCCTCTGGTTTGGAACTTGCATCAAAACTAGTTAACAGGATTCTGCAAGACACCACATCACAGCCTGTGATAACAGCACCGCAATTACTAAGGAAAGGAATCTTCCACCGCCCTATCAGCAGTACCTCACACCTCTGCAAGCTGTCTCACATGACTGCACTGCTCATTCTAAGATGGGAGGACCGTGCTGTAAATGATACCCTGGGAACTGGTGCTCTCAGGGCAGATTTTTTTCCCCTCAGGTCGTCCACTCCTACCAGGAAGGCCCGTAAAGGAACGTTTCCTGGAACCCTTTGGTCTCTGCAACACTGAGTTCAGCAGAACCTGGCTTCGACCCCAGCCCATCTGCCCTAGCAACCAGTTCATTCTGTAGGGTAACACAGAGCATGAGCTTACAAGTAAGACTGCCTTACCCAGAATCTCATATACTGTTAAGGAACGCATTCCAAATTTATGGTATGTGAAAGATTACTAATGGAAAAACTGCAAAAGAGTGCGGAAAAAAACAACAAAAAGAGTGAGAAGACACTAAGAAGCTTTCAGAATTAACAGACAAATAAAACGTTTGAAATCCATTTCCAGTGGCAGTGGTTCATGCAGAAGCAACAAACTAGATGAGGATTTATACTAAAGCATTTGGTATATTTATTGGATTTTAACTCCAATGCATTTAGAGAATTGCTATTGTCTCCTAAGCTCTACTCCGTTGGCCAAAATCACACATTAATATTAAAAGAAGAAAGAAATTCTCTCCCCACAAAAGCATGCCTTTCTGCACTTGGCACACAAGGCTCAAATAACTCAATAAAGATTAGATGTACTTCAAACTGAAGCACACTAGTGCCCAAGCAGCTGTCTTCTTTCCAACCAAGCTGCGTGTGATTTGGGATGGGAGTAGAATATGCTCTATTAGCCAACGACCAAGCCAAATGTGGTGGTTTTTTTTTTTTAAACCCAAATTCATTTTTCAAGTAACACTGAAGCAGGTTTGTGTGAAACTCTTATTGCAGTACCCAATAATTACGGAAGGCCTTCTTTTTGCCAGATTTCATATAATGGAGGATTTTTTTAATGTTTGGGTTTTTGTGTATTTTTAATTTTCCAGCTTCTTACCTGTCCCTTACACGTCATACACATATCTAAGGTTGGCTGAGCTGCTCTGAATTCAAAGGGGATTTTTTGTGTGTCTTTCCACCGATTAAACAGCAATAGCAATAGAATTTAATAATTAAATGCTGAAGAGTTTTCCATTGTTTTTCTCCCAGTGAACATCCATCCTTTGTTGTAACCATTCCCTTCTTGTCCAGGCATCTGTCTTAATTCTTCACTGTACAAAGGTCTTAGGAGACCCTATCCCTGAGGAAGGATTCAGAGAGCCACTTTTAAGCAGCAACAGCAGCTGCAGAAATATATATATATTTTGAAGGTCTAAACCTCACTTTACGATATTAAAAACATTCAACTCTAATTTTCATAGCTGACTTACAAGGTCAAACAAGAAACAGAAGCTAAAGTCAGACCCCAAAGAGTGTAGAAAGGCCTCTGCAGAACTTCTGCCTGAAAAAGTTAATGCTCCACAGTTGAATCATGAACTTAATCAGAGCCAAATACTACGAATGGAAATATTGGGGAACAAAGAGTTAATGATCAATGGAGACATACCTCCTGAGCTGCTTTAAGTCTGTTATAGGCAGGCCTACACCCTGTAAAGATATATTCAGTTACATTCCTGTGTAATTCTGTGTAGAGCACATCCAAGTGTAGCAGCAGCAGAACAGATGATGCGCTTTCACAAGACCTTCCCTATTTTATTTTATTTTTTTCCATTTCAGAAGGCCTTCTGAGAGAATGAGAGGAAGCCTGGGCCTTTTGTTTCTGAAGATCTATAATCTGATGATGGCCAATGGGGAGAGAGTGGGGCACTGTCAGAACTGATTTTCAATACTTCCTCTAGAGGGAATAGGATGGCCAGTGTAAGCGGCTTCAGAAGTCAGACTTACAGGCCTCTCACTATTGTTGCTGAAAAATTCCACTATTTATTGTCTTGCCTGAAATTCATAAAATATTCAACTTCCTTGACTATGAGATTTCAGGGTGCTGCCCTCCAAAGCCACTTTGTGGTGAGTCCTTGTTAGGGGCACAGATCAAATGGCCGAGCTCAGCCTCAAAGGCTGAGAAAGCAGGAGGAGGACCACCGAGCCAGCAGCTCCACATGGCCGGACAGGCAGGGCTGGGACTTGCTGGGGACTATTGGAAAAGCAGTTCTGAAGCTGCTTCTCTGACTCACAGGCTGCCTGAATACTCTATCCGAAATTCTTTTCCACCACAGAACTGTCCATGCTACGAAAATAATTTGTTGCATAGTTAGTCACAATAAATTAAAATTTCATGTCTGAAGATGAATTCTATGACCTGTGTCAGCTGGGTAAACACAACTTCACAGACAGAAAAACAATGATTTGTGAGATTTATTAGTGTTACACAAAACTAGTGCACAAGAGGCCTTGCACAACCAGCTCTTGGCAGCCTCCTTTCTCCATGTGCTGAATGAGTGCACCCAACAAGAAAAGTCTCTTCAGATCCTCTGAACAGGGCAAAATCAAACTGTGAGGCCAGTGCCAAGAGATGCACGTGGACATAACTGCAGCACACTTGAGTCGGTGGACGTGAGATGGCTGTACACATCCTGTGCTGCTGCTCCATCACTAACAAAAAGGCAGCGATTTTGTAAGCTTTTTCATGTAAGCCTAAGGGGCTTCATTAACAGAATCCGAATCTCAACTATCAGCTTTAGCTCCCCTAATGAGATCGTTTTTTCCCCCTATGTAGGTGGTCTTTCATTTCTTAAATGCAATTAGCATACAGTTGTTGCCTGATGTTTTTATTTATTTTTGAAAGTGCCGACTACTGGACTTAGTTTCATAGTTCTAATGTTTCCAGAACTGACTTTTGTGCTCCACAGCCTATTTTCAGGAAACATGTTGTAAGAGGAATGATATTTGGAACTCTACTTTTATGGTTGCAAACACTTCTCCGGTTTGGGTTTTGGTTTTTTTTTTTTCCTTTTTCTTTAGTTCTTTTTTTTTTTTTTTTTTACTCCCTTTGTTTGTTCATTAGGGGCCACTTTTAATTCCTAGATGTGTTTTTTGGAGGTAAGTTCTTTCCTTTGAAATCCATACCACTAAAACATAATGTTAAAAATACGTCTTTAGACAAAATACTGGACTTCTTTTCTGAGATTCTGTGCAGTGTTCTGAGTGGTGCACTGAACTTTGAGTATTTGTCCGTATTTAGATTTCCTCAAGACACTTGATGACATGTTCATTAGCTGCCTTCAGTTCGATACGGAGAGGCACTCAAGAACCTTTTGTTTAGCTGTAAAATGCATACGAGGTTTCAGACTT